TCTCTCTCTCTCTCTCTGTCTCTCTGTCTCTCTCTCCCACTCTCTTTCTGTGTCTCTCTCTCCCTCTCTCTCTCTTTTCCTGTGTCTCTCTTTCTCCCTCTCTGTCTCTCTCTCCTTCTCTCTTTCTCTGACTCTCTCTGTCTCTCTCTGTTTCCCTCTCTCCCCCTTCTCTCTCTCTCCCCTCCTCTGTCTGTCTGTCTCCCCCCACCCCCACCCCCCGGTCACTCTCTTTCTCTCTCTCTCTGTCTTTCTGTTTCTGTCTCTGTCTCTTTGTTTCTCTCTCGCGCACGGGTTATACGAGATGGATGCTTGTGGGACGTCCTGCCAGAGGCCCAGGAGCAGGCTGGGACTGGGAGAGGCCTGGATGGGAGGTAGAATTCATGAGCTGTGGCAGTTCTGAGGTGTTCGACACCAAGGGCGTGGGTGAGACCCCAGGAGTGAGAGAGAGAGGGACGAGGTGAGGGACTCAGATGCAGGCCGGAGGGATTCGGGCATTCCTAAGTCCAGGAGGAATAGGAGCCCCAGGGAGGCCAGCAGGGTGGGAGGACAACCAAGTGAGGGTGGGGTCGTGGGACTCAAACAGAAGTGCTACAAGGGGAGGCTGGCGACAGGCCCTTGGGACCAGGCTGGAGAGACCTGTGCCCTGGGTTTGACAGCGCAGCTCACAGCAGGAGGACAGGCATGGAGGCCAGCACGGCTCACAGCAGGAGGATGGGCACAGAGGCTGGCATGGCTCACAGCAGGAGGATAGACATGCAAGCTGGCCTAAGGGTGCTGAAAGTGAACAGCTGGGGGAAGCAGGGAACCATCCTTCCCTGAGGCTGGTCCAGGGGAGGGAAGGTCAGAGGGTCGCAGGAGGGGGATACGGGACCCCGGGGGGAGTCACTTTGTTTCATTGTAAGAGCACAGCCTGGGAAAATGTGGGAGCCACTGAAGGACGGAGGGGGCACGTCATGGAGCACAGAAGGAATGAAAAGACAGGCCCAGAACCCAGTGAGGGCACCTCGGCTGGAGACGGGCACTGTCTACCCTAGAGCATGACTTTTCAGGACAGCCATGTGGCTGGGGTTCCAAGGTCTACACCCTCTGCCTGAGTCCCCTGGTCCAGGCAGACTTCCCTGGCCGTGTCTGGCCTCACCGCACCCTGTCCTCTGAGCTTCCACATCCCAAAGAGTCTCAGCCCCCCACGATGGTTCTCACCTCCAGCTTCAGACTCATCCCTGGGGATCTTCCCAGCATTCCCTCTCTGGAGACAGAGATTGGGTCCCTCATTTTTATCTCCCCCCTCCTCCTCCTCCTCCTCCTCCTCCTCCTCCTCCTCCTCGTAGAGAAGCCTAAGCACAGCAGCAGGGAAGTCAAGTTTCTCCCTTCTCTTTAGGAATCTCTCTGAGGGGAGGCTGGCTGGAAGGAGGAGGCTGGAGTGGATGGCGGGAAATTCTGCTTTTCGCAGAGCGCCGGCGGCCCAGGGAAGCCCCTTTCTGGCCTGATCTTGCCCAAGACTCCAGGGAGCTCTGGTTCTCCCATCTCTTCTGCTCTCTCTCTCTCTCCACTCCGCATCTTACTCCTCAAGACTGGAGTCTGGAGGGGCTTGGGGATGCCCTGTTTCTCTCCCTGCCAGGACCCTCCCACCCACTTATGCTGACCACACGAGCATTCCCTTCTTCCACCAGCCCCTGAGTCTCAGGCAGGTGGGGAAGGGAGTCCGGAGTCCATCCCCAGCATCAGAGCCTCATCCAGGGGGTGCAGTCGCGGGGTCTAGGCCCTTGGTCGTAGTTGGGCTGCCACCTGGTGGTCATGATGAACATTGCGCCCCTCAGCCCACCTCATTGCCTGCCATCCAGGAGGCCCCTTCTGAGACTCCTCCAAACGTCACCTACTGACCAACTCCCACCTGCTACAGGTGCGGAAGCCGAGGTCCTGAGAGAGGAGGAGGTTGCCAGGCAAGGGATCTGCCCAGGAACCCACACTGTAGTCCCAGTCCCCGGCTCCCTTCACAGAAGAGACTAGAGAAATGGCAGGAACTTTTTTACTTTTTGTAGAGAGATGAGGTCTCACTATGTTGCCCAGGCTGGTCTCAAACTCCCGGGCTCAAGCAGTTCTCTCATCTTGGCCTCCCAAAGTGCTGGGATACAAGCATGAGTCACCACGCCCAGCCACCACTATCTAATTTTAGTTCGGTTCTATCGCCTCAAAAAAGTTAGTTTCATCACCTGAAAAAAGAAACCCTGCACTCATTAGCAGTCAACCCCTCCCCCAAATTCCCTCTTTCCCCAGACCCTCATGACCTCCACTCTATTTTCTGTCTCTGTGGATTTTCCTATTCTGGACATTTTCTATAAATGGGATCATACCATATGTGGCCTTTTATGACTGGCTTCTTTCGCTTAGCATATAATAGTCCAGGGTCCATCCATAATGTAGTATACATCAGTACTTCATTCCTTTTTATGATGGAATTAGCATTCCATTGTACAGATATTCTGCATTTTGTTTATGCATTCATCAGTTGCTGGATACCTGGGTTGTTTTCACCTCATGGCTCTTATGGATAATGCTGTTATGAACATTCGTGTACAAGTTTTTGTGTGTTCTGTCACATAGACACCTGGAAGTGGATGACTTTGTAAGTAACCAGCTGTCTTCTTTCCAAGGCAACGGACCACTTTCTCCAGCAACATATGAAGGGCTCACTTTCTCCATATTCTCATCAACACTTGTTATTGTCTATTTTGTTTTCATGTTAGCCATCCCCATGGGTGTGAAACAGTATCTTGTTGTGGGCTTGACTTACATTTTCCTCATGACTAATGATGTTGAGCATCTTTCATGTGCTTATTGGCCATTTGTATATCATGTGTGCTATTCTTATGCATAAAAACAAGATGCAAGTTTATAAATATAACACGATCCCAAGATATTTACAAAACACAGAGGGGAAAAAAAATCTTCCAGGAAACATACAAAGATAATGGTGGTGGATGACATTGGGTAATAAGATGATGATTGATTTTTATTTTCTTTTTAATCCCCTCTGTACCTCCCCCATGTCGGCAGCGAGTATGAAATAGTTTCAAGATCCAAGGCTTAAGGCAGGCATGATTGACTCTTGGACGGGCAGGCACTTGGATATCCACCTGAACAAGAAGGCATCAGGCAGTTGGACATCATGGCCATAGTGTCACCTTGGGCTTCAAAAGGCTGCATCCCCTTTCCCTAAGGCCCTCATGACTGCAAGGAAGGAGAGTATCCGTCAGCACCACCAGCACAGGTGAGGGATGCCTGGTCCCCTCTTCCCAGTGAGGAAGGAAGAAGACCTGGTCCAGCAGGCTGTGAGAGAGAAGTTATATTCTTCATGCAGAGGAGAGAGTCACTCTTCAGGGAGTCACAGAGATGGGAGGAACCAGGCAAGGGTAACCAGACCAAGTGGGCAAGGCTAGAGGGGGATATCTGGACTCCCAGGACAATGGGGGAAAAGAATAGATGGCAGGGAAGGCTGGTGGAGTGAGAGAGGGCTTCTTAGAGATGGGAACAATTGAACTGAGTCCTGCAGGACAGATCTGCTGTGGACAGGCCGAGAAGGGGAGGGATTGCATTCTGACCTGCCTAGTGTCCGTTGCTGTCTGTTCAGTGTGTAAAATCTCCCTCCACCCCCATCAATCAACAAACAGCGCCCTGCGGACAGTACCCAGGTCTCCTCCTCCCTTCTGCCAAGAAGGAGGGTGGGAGAGGGATGGATCGTGCCGCTGTGTTCCATTAAGGGGGTCTCCCTTGAGTGGGGGCAGCAGGCAGCAGGCTGGGGCCCAGAAGGGCACACCATGGGGAAGACAAGGGAAAGTCCTGGGGCCGAGGCATCTCCACACCAGAGGAAAACTGGGAGAGAGACTCAAGCAGCTTCCAGAAGAACTCCAAAAGGCTAACAGGCACAAGAAGAGACACTCAGCTCATTAGTGAAGGGGAGATGCAAATCAGGACCGGGATGTGACAGCACTGTCACCCCTCTGTCTTGCAAGCACTTGAAGCTGGGTCATGTCAAGTGTTGTGGGATTGTGAGGCTCTGGGGGCCTCAAGGGGCCCTGGGGTGGGGGGTTTCAGGGGCTGCTGGGTGGGGAATGCAGATGTGCGGGTAGCCATCTGTCACCCCTCCGTCACATCAGGAAGGGACACAGCTAGTATCTCAGCCCCTCTCCCCCCGAAGTGAGTCTCTGTGATAGACTTACTCCCACCACAAATCCAGGAGGTGGGGAGACATGAATGTGTCCCTGGAGGGCAGGAGAGACAGGACAGGATGGGACCACGTGGGCAAGGACACCATGTGACACCACACGCAGCCAAAACGATGAAGTGGACACACACTCCGGAGCACAGGGGGTCTCTAAGGGCACAGTGCCATGGAGACGTCAGAAGCAGGACAGGGCATGTAGCCAATAGCATTCATGTCAGTGACAAACACAGACACACGAAATGCCATATATTTTGCAAGACCCATAAAAAAACAGTCACATTAAACACTTGGGCTTGTTTGCCTGTGGGCAGAGGGAGCAAGGGTGGGGACAAAAGAGGGTGTGTTTTACACGTGAATAAAACAGGAGTGGCCTGGCACAGACAAGGAGTTACAATGCAGCACGAACCAAGGAATGATGTCCATTAAATAAAGGGTGTGGACACGCTCCCCCCCCCCAGAGGCACGTATATTCACTCCAGTATCAATTCATTCACAAGTTTATTGGCTCCTTGGAGTCTTGGACTAGAGCCCCCAGACCCCAGGAGATGATGAGAAGGGACACAGAGGACCGAGGACGTCCGAGGTGGGCATACAGGGGTCTAGGGAAAGGGTCAGAAGCAGAGGCGGGTTGAAGGGCTGTCCCTGCCCAGGGTTGAACAGCAGCTGGGTGGGGTGTGGCCTGAAGGTCCTCGGGGATCCTTCGTGACTCAGGAGAGGGGCAGACCCACTACAGTTGCCCCCAGTCAGGTGTGGGTTCTGGTTGCGCGAAGGGGCCAGCCTAGCACATGGACGTCAGCGCCTTTGCCCTCGAGCAGGAAGGCATGGTCCACTTAGTGCGGGTTCTCCGGGCTGGCAGAAGCTCGGGGTCATGGCCATGCCACTTCCGCGAGATCTCAGTCCTCACCTCCGGGGACAAGAGAGAGGCTGTTAGGAAGGTCCCACTACGGCTCTGCTACCCAACCCCCATGAAACTGAGCATGCAGAGAGACACCATGTAGGAGAAACAGAGACACAGCAGGAAAAGCCAGGACTGGCCACAGACACTGCTAAGTACTACCTCTGGAGGATACTACTTCCTCCTTCCTGTAGGTATCTCACTATTGCCTTAGCTCCTTTTTCTGCCTTTTAGCATTGCCTTTGTCTGTTCCTAGTGAAAAACATTTACGAGTGCTTTCTTGAGTTCCTGGCTGAATAATTACCCTGACTCCTTGAATCACTTAGACCCTGCTCTGGGTCTTGATTTTGTGAGCACGACTTGGGCCAGTGGGAATCTGTCCAGAGGGCATGACCCGAAGGGAGACAGGACTCTGAACTCTGAGGGGCTGCAGGAACTGATGGTATCTGAAAAAGTAGCCTGCAGTGGAGCAGAAGGGTGGGATGGTTGAGGGGGCAGGGCTGTTTGTATCGTTCCATGTCCAAGGTCGGGGGCAGAGGGAGCTGAGAGATGAGTCCACCTAACACAGCTGAACTGGAGCTGTGGTAAAAAAGAAAAGGAGATAGATTTCTGTTCCACATAAAGATGATTTTCCCCACGGGTGCCTGACAACAGAAAGAGCTATTGTAAAGCTAATAAGCTCCCCATTCCCAGAGGTATGTAACCATCTGGTCTCCAACATTGCTTCCTGAGACAGACTCCTTTACAACTCTGCATGGAAGCTCCTTTCCCAGACACGACCAGCCTCGGTGGTCCTCCCAGGATCCCCGAGGGCCCATGACCTGCTACAGACACTGTAGTCCTGACACATAATAAGGCTGTGTGAGACTCTAAGGAGCTGAACTGGGAGGGACGGGGGTCAGAGGGGAAAGCACAGTCCGGACAGAGGTAGCAGTGGAGAGGGATGCCATAGTCCACAACTAGGGCACAGGGCACTGGCTGCTGGGCTCCCACAGAACGCAGAGCCCACGGCGAATCCACGGCCACCAGAGGAGGCCTGTGACCCCGCCGTGCAGAGGTGGCCAGCGAGTCTGGGGCACTGAGCTGAAATCTCCCTCCTCGCTCCCCAGAGCAAGACCCTCCTGAGGGGAAGGAAGACGCAGTGTCCTCTGGGCAGACTCCACTTGGCGCCTGCGTCTGCCCTCTGCCCGTGTCCTGCAGGTGCAGCAGCCCCATCCGTTCAGTCTATTCATGTCGGTCTCCCCTCCTGCGTTCTCTCTGTGCCTCTCTCTTCTAGGTGCTCTCTGTTTCCCTGACTCTGGGTGGGATCTGCCTCCCTGTCTCTGCATCTGACTCTGTGTTCCTAGTTCCTTGTGTGTCCACCTTGGACTTTCGTGGCTTCTCTGTCTCTGTTCTCTCTAATATCTGACCCTCAGCTAACATGCTCCCTCCCCCACTCTCCCTTTTGTTCAATTTTAGGAATACCAAATCGGGAGATGCCATTAGACACCTCACCCCAATGCCTCTCCTGACCCCCGAAGGCCTCCCCCACTTCCAGATGTATGGACGGTAGAACTTGGCTTGGCTCAGAGAAGGGATGGATAAAAGATGTTTACAGGAAGCATTCAGGTTCAAATCGATCCAGGAACTCGGGGCAGACTTTCACAAAGGATAACCTGAGTCAAGGTATGTGGCCTGAGATGGGATTTACAGGGCCTGGGCATGAGAGGAGGGGAGGGACTTAGGACTAGTGGGAGGGGGGCTGGAAGAACAAGAGCTAATCGAGAGCACATACCTCTTGGTTGAGAAAGCAGTAGAGGATGGCCACAAGGAAACCCTGCGGAGCAAAGAGCGAGAGCCCCATCAGAGCACTTTGGCCTGACACCAACGTGTCCTTAGTCTTTCTACTATCTTTTCCCTACCCAACCCCAGGCGCTGGCTTGGGCCAGGTGTGTGTGAAAAGGAAATTTAGATGCATTTATAATTCACTATGTGCCAGGGACATTGTCTCATAGAACTGTCATAGTAAGTCTGCCAGGGCTGTGCTGTTGGCCCGTTTCTCTGACTTTATTTCGGCATCCCTCATGAATGAGCACATCACTTGGCACATAAGAGGGGCTCAGTAAAAGTTTAATAGATAGGGTGGGCAGGTGGATGAGTGAATGGGTTCGTGGGTAGCTGAATGAATAGAGAATGAATGAATGGATGGGAGGAAGGACAGAAGAAAGGCAAGAAGGAAGGGTTGATGGGTGGATGGGCAGATGAACGGATGGATGGATGAATGGACGGACAAGCAGACACACGGATGGAAGGGTGGGTGGATGGATGGATTGATGGATGGATAGATAAGTGAATGGGTTCGTGGGTAACTGAATGAATAGAGAGTGAACAAATGGGTGGGTGGAAGGAAGGAAGGAAGGGTCAATGGATGGTTGAATGGATAGAAAAAATGGATAGATAGATGGAAAATGGACAGACAGATGGACAGTCGAACAGATGGGTGACGGGTGAAAAGAATAGCACTCGCCCTATCATGAAGTTCACCAAGGCCTATGGACACCAGCAGCTCCCGCCTGCCCGAGGACTTGGAGGGAAAGAGTGTCTGCTGGGGGCTTACCTGGAAGGAGCCCAGCCCCAGCTCCAGCGGGAGGCGGATGCCCAGGCCGGCATTGTCAGGCAGGAAGTTGAAGATGATGTAGTGGCTTCCAAACAGTGGGATGAGGAAGAGTGTTGACTTGGAGAGACGCCTGCAGGAAAGACACGCTCTTGGCTCCCAAGGCTGGGATTAGAGACTCCAGTGTGCACAGCCCACTCTCCCTTCCCACCACCTCCTCAGACCCACTCTGTGTACAGCCACCTGGCATCTCTGCCTCCCACACGCACCCTGGGCTTCCTTACTTCAGGGCCCTGGATCCTGCTGTTCCCTCTGCCAAGTGCTCTTGTCCTAGTATATTCCAAAGTCTATGCATCTTTCAAAGTCTAGTTCAAAGACTGCTTCCTCCAGGAAGTCTTCCCTGCTCTTTCCCTCTCTCCATCTAGAAAGGATCTCCTGCCCCAGGCTTCCCTAGAAATTGATTCCAGCACTCATTGGCATGGCAACTGGTTGTTTGGAGTCCCCATCCTTCCAAATGTGGTCTCCTAGAAGACAGGGGCCAGATCTATTTTCTCTCTGGGAATATGGGGAAGAGTATGGAGATGGGACCCTGAATGCCTGCTGGATGAGACAGAACCACATGAAAGCCCCTCATTTACCCTCTCTCAGTGTCCAACACAAACACACACACACACACACACACACACACACACACACACACCACTGTACCAGTACTGGGACTGGGTGTGGAGGCTGCCCTGAGCCGGCTCCAGCTTCCTCAGCAGGATACGGATAATATTGAGAAAAAGTCCAAAGTTCACCTGTGAACAGAGGCATGGGAAGATGCAGGGCAAGGGTAGGGGTAGCCCTGGATGGCCTGAGGTGGGGCCTCAGCACTTTGGGGGGCTAGACACCCGAATCCTTGACACACAGGGATGCGCAAGTAGATGGACGCACAGACGACCGCCCCAGAACTTATAGCCTGCATGCTGGGAGGGCCCTCGTGCAAGCCTTGGAGGGCAGAGCAGGGCTCAAGCACCCCCCTCCAGTCCTGGGATCAAGGTAGGGAGGGTCAGGGCTTGCCGTGGGCCTCCCACCGCCTCCCAGGCTCCTCTCTGGCACAAAGCAGGTGCCCCTCACTTTGCACAATTGCTAAGCTGAGAATAGGTTGCCCATGGATGCAGGCCGTGTGAAACGGTCCTCACTGCCCTGTGTTCTGTGTGGGAGCTGCGGGGAGAAAGCTGTGCTCAACCGCAGGCTCCGCCTACTTCCCCCACCCCCAGTCTCTCCCAAGGTCTGCAACCAGTTCACCAGATCATCAAAACTCTGAGCTGCAGCAGCCTGCCTGCTGGTTGAGAACACACTTCTGGTTACCAATGGGCTACTGAGGCCCAGAGAGGGTCTCACAGACACTCAGCAGCAGAGCAAAGCTGGAACCCAGGTATCCCAACTCCCACGCGCAGCCCCGCAGTGGGTTCAGGGAGGTTGACTGAATAAAGCCCAGGGACTGACCCCCACGGAGAGGACGATGGGCCCTTTGATGATCCACCAGTAGGGGGACCTGTCATCCAGGTCCCAGCACCTGGAGAGCAAGGACAGGAACACAGTGGCTGCAAACTCCCCTGTTCTGTGACATCCCACACGCCTCCCGCTGTCTCCTTTCCGGCACTCACATCCCTGGTCTCACCCCGCCTGCCTTCCAGCCTTCTTTCCTGACGCAACCAGTTAGCCTCCCCTGAAAGGGGCACCCCAATCCAGGCTGGACCCACCCTTTCTCTTCACCTCATTGGATAAACATCTCTAAAGTCGGTGGATTTGATGGCTCCTTGCTGGCCCCAGGACTTCCCTTTTTCCGGACAGTCGCACTCCACCGAGTAACCCTGAACCCCCTCTCCTACCCAGTCCATGTCCTTTCTGAGGCATCCACCGACTGCCTTCTGGTCTCCCACCCCCCAGCCTAGCCGGGAAGTCCCTCCTCTCCTCTTCCCAGCCGACTCACGCGAGATCCTCGAAGGCCAGCTTGCAGACCACCCACGTGCCAGTGAAGAACACAGGCAGCCCTGTGGGGGCATAGAGGAGACAGAGCGAGGGGGTCTGCATGCTTGGCTCTGAGATCTGTTCCCCAGCCCCACCACCAGGCACACAGGGCACTGCAAAGGCAGGAGCAGGCACAGGCCACAGCCAGGGACTGGTCCTGCTCTCCAGCACCTGCTGCAGGGCTGCGGCCATCCTCGCCTTCCCTGGGCCTCAGCATGAGGTGAAGGGGCCTTTGTGTGAGCTCCCTGGGCCTCCCCAGTCCTCGGCCTCTCCACGGTGTCCCACCCGCCCCCATGCTCACCCCAGGCGGCAGTAACCAGCCACCAGAAGGTTCTCCTCGAGCTGAGGGAAGTGGAGGCCAGGAGGCAGGTCAGGTAGATGGCTTCTGCCGACAGCCAGCTGAAGTTGGTCATGGTGGCGAAATGGGAGATAGCCACGGAGACCTTGCAGAGAGACTGGGGGCCAGGATGTGGGTACTTCAGAGCTGGGACACCCATGGAAGCCCCCATCCAAGTCTCCCCTACCCCACTCAGACCCGGAACCTCCGGGCCCTGCCACCTCAGGCTGGGCCATCCGATTCCTTGGGCTTCCCAGAAGGGCTGAAGTAGTATAAGGTGATGGCTAAGGGTATAGATGTGGGTTGGGGACAGCCTGGGCTCTGATGTCCTGTCTACTGGCTATGCGAACCCCTCATGCCTTGCGCCATCTGTGAAAGGAAACTTTCCCAGAACCTGGTTTCTGTCCTTGTTCATGACTCATGGGAGTCAAGGGAAACTCTAAGAGTCACTTCTGCTTTTACTCTCACACCCTCCCTCCCCAGAGCTGTGACCAGGGAACAGAGTTCATTCAGGCCCAGCTCTTGTCTGCAAACACACAGTACCACCCGCGCATGCATTCACTCGCTGCATAACTTGCTCACCTGCCAGGCGAGTGGGACCACCTCTGAGCCCAGACCACCCAGGTTTGGCCCCAGTCCCAGATGACCCAGGTTTGGCCCCAGCCCCAGACAACCCACGTTTGGCCCCAGCCCCAGCCAGTGACCTGCCAATTGCCCCTCACCTACAAAATGGGATGAGAGTGATGGTTTCTTCTTCAAGTTATTTAAAAATTAAAGAGAGTATCATTGACCCTAGACACGGGTTCAAAGTGTGAGGTTCCACTCATAGATAGACTTTCTTATGCCTCTGTCACTTCTGAGACAGCAAGACCAGCATGAAGATGACAAGGATGAAGACCTTTATGATAATCCACTGCCACTAATGAATAGAAAATATCTTTTCTTTTCCTTATTCTTTTTTTTTTTTTCAGTTCAGGGTCTCACTTTGTCGCTCAGGTTGGAATACAGTGACACAGTCCCAGCTCACTACAGTCTCAAACTTCTGGGCTCAGACGATCCTCCTGCCTTAACCTCCCAAGTAGCTGAGATTAGGTGAGCACCACCACATTTGGCTAAATTTTTTTTTATTTTTTATTTTTGTAGAGACAAAGTCTAGCTATACTGCCTAGGCCGGTCTCGAACTCCTGGGCTCAAGCAAGCCTCCTGTCTCGGCCTCCCAAAGTGCCGGGATTATAGGCATGAGTCACCGTGCCTGGCCCCTTATGACTTTCTTGATAATAATTTCTTTTCTCCTGCTTACTTTATTGTAAGAATACAGTGCATAATACATAAAACGTACAAAGTATGTGTTAATTAACCGTTAATGCTATCAGTAACGCTTCCAGTTAACAGGAGACTATTAGTCATTAGGGTTCTGGGGAGTCAAAAGTTCTAGGCAGATTTTTGACTTCCTGGGAGATCAGCGCCCCCAGCCCCTGCACCGGTCAACTCTGTGTGTAAAGCACTTAGCACAATGCCTGGTGTATAATAAGTGTTCGGTGTATATGGTTACTAGTCCTCCCGTTAACTAGTTGAGGTCCTTTGCTAGTCACTCACTCAGCTGTTCACTCCCAGCGCACTTGCCAAGGCCTCAGTGCTGGGTCTCTGTGCTCCTCCCCCAGTATACTTACTGAGCCTCGGGTCTGGGCCTCCGCCTTCCACCCGACTTCCTTTACAGTCCAGTCTCCCCTTCCTCTCACCACTCCCTTCCACCATGACTTCCCCTTTTCTGGACATGCCCCAGGTCCTCCTGTCTTGAGAGTTCCTTCATAGTGGGCCTTCCACTTGGCATGTCTCCCCTCCCCATCTCCCTATCATTGATGCTGACCCAAAACCTCCTCCTCCCTGGAAGCCCTCTCGGCTTCCTCCACCTGGGAGTCCCATAACCTGTGCACATTCTGTCCCCGGGGTGCTTCGTGAAGATGAGAGGGACCCAGCTGTGCCCAGTCCCTCACATGCACCCCAGCCCAACCCAATGATTGCTCTGAGGGGCAGGAAAGGACAGGAGAAGACCAGTGGTGAAACACAGGAAATGACTGGAGTGACACTATCCTCCAGGACTGGCCAGGGGACTTAGGACCTGAGGCCGGCATCGAGGGATGCTTTCCTGCCCTGTAATTGGCCATGTGGGAGTCCCAGTGATGGCCCACAGGACAGAGCAGGCCGGGGAAGCACAACCAGGTCTCTAATAGCCCTCCTCCGCCCCCAGCCCCTCCACCACGGCCCTTACAGTAGAGAAGCTGCAGTGATCCATGTCGTCACCATGGAAGAGGGTGGCGTCCTTCAGGAACACGGCCCCCGCCTTGAGGATGAAGGTGGCAAACAGTTGGGTGTGGATGTAATTCCGGGAGCAATGGAGCCTCCTGGGGGGATGGGAAAGAGGAGGAACAGAGGGAGGGAGGGACTTCTGATGCCACGGCAGGTGCCAGCTTGGGTGCAGAGCAGGCTGGAGGTGAATCGAATGGAATCAAATCAAACTGAGCTGAATTGAGGTGAGCTTGAGGCTTCAGTGTAGCCTTGGAGGACAGCTGACCGACTTTTGCCCTGGGCTCAGGGTCACTGCGGGAATGGGGAAATACTAGTCCCTGCCTTGAGGGAGCTCACAGTCTGGGGAAATAGAGGCAGAAACAGCAGGTACTGCCCATGGATGCTCCCTGGATGATCGATGTGACTTAGCTCCGTGAGACAGAGAACAGCCCGGGCCAGGCATGGGCTCAGACTTTGAAGGCTGGACAAGGGTCAGAGAGTTGGAACAGTCAAGCAGGGCTCCGTGTAGGAGGCATAGAGGATTCTTAGATGCAGTCGGGATCTGGGCTTCGAATGAGGGCCACACCAACCAAGTGTGGAGGGTGAGGTGAGTTCTGATGTGTGAAGAGACGGCTCTCCACGAGACAAAGACATGGGGGCTAGGTCCGGGAACCTCCTGGCTCTTCAGGCAAGGAATCAGACTTGGTCCTTTGGGTAATAGGGAGCCAATGAAGGTTATTAAGCTAGTGATGCAGATGGCAAACCTGAGAGTAATCAGGATGGTGATGGCCATGAAGAGGGCTGCAACAGAGATGCTATGGCCCGTGGTATAGATGATCTTCACCGTGGAGAAGTAAGATTTCTGGGGGAGGGAAGAGACAGAAAAAAGTTTCAGCATCTGGGCCTTTGGGGGACAGAGAACCTTGGCGATCAAGCAGGTGAGGCCTGTGTTATTCCATCCTGACACTGCCCATCTGGGCAAGAAGTGTCGTGGGTACCATGGAAAACCACCTCTGTGCGTTGAAGCCTTTGCTCACAGCCTGTCTTCCCCTGACCTGCTGTGAAAGAGGGACAGTGGCCGAGCAAAAATGCTCATCACAGGTGGGGACAGACAGCAGCAGAAACCACACGTCCTTGGGGAATGACAAAAGCCCAAGAGGAAATTGGCTTGTTTATTGACATCCAGCTTGCTCACCGACTTGGGAACACAACGTCCCTGAATAAAGGAGACAGCCGGGGACAGCTGGGGACAGCCACAGGCAGGCAGGCAAAAGTGTCTCATGCCCAGGTGCTTGGATGGGTCAGAGTCCAGCCTGCCCCCTAGAGACCGAGGGTGCCAGCAAGGGAAGGGACCAGGAACCAGGCACTGGCACCAATCCCAACTCCGCTGTAGAACTCAGGCAATCACCATCCCACTCAGACTCAAGTCTTTTCATCTGAAAAATGGGTACAGTCATGCTTTACCTTTCAGGAGTGAGGGGAGAGAGAAATGAGATGATGGGTGTGGAAGTGGCTTACAAATAGGGGTTCTCTGTAATCGGTCCTGGACTTGAGTTTCCCTCTCTGGCTTGCACCACAAGGAGGGAAGGAGAAAAGAGGGAAGAAAGGAGGGAGGGAGGGAGAAGTTATAAGAGAGGGAGGGAGAAAGGGAGAAAGGAAGGAGATAGTTGCACACTTCTCCACAGACAAGGGGCAGGAGAAGAGATGGAGCTTGCCCAGGGCCACCAGGGGCCTTGCTTTCCTCTAGAACCACTTAAAGCTCCCTGCCCCAGAGGCCTGGGCACAGAAGTGAGAGAGTGGCCAGCGTATCTCCATGCCCTCTGCATCCTCTCTCCCTCCAAGTGACTTGGCCCATGCACCACCCTTGAGCAAATTAGCAAAAGATCCGCTCACCTCTGGACATATCACTGCCATCTGCTGGAAAACTGCTGTAATTAATATTCCAACCTGACAGCTGTCACGGGAATGGCAGACCCTGCAGTTGTGCAGGCTACTACCCATACAAATGTCCATGTTGATCCATCCTCCAGGATGCCAGAAGCCTCTTACCTCCTCAGCCAGCACCTCCAGGGGCACAGGGCAAGCCACAGGATAAGGTGGGAAGGGCTCAGACCAGCCCATGATCGTACAGTCCCGCTTCACAGTCCCTGGGAGGCAAGCAAGAGACTGGTTAGGCCAACTCCTTCTCTCTCCCCAAGAAGGGGAGGAGGGTCCATGGACCATTGAGTGACCCTGGCAGGGTTTGCATAGACAGTCCCTCTCAGCGGCAGAGAGAGGGTAGCTTTCCCTGCAGAGCTCTGGGTTCCAGGCCCAGCCTGCCTGGGACACACTCTGGGGCCTCTCGTCTCTGACCTCAGAGGCGCCATCTGTTACCAGAGGGAATTTCCTGAGGAGCAGTGACCATCCTACCGGCAGTGGGGAAGAAAGGAGGCCTTCGCTGAGCAGTGGGTCCCTCCACCTCCACCCTCCCTCATCCTGGGCAGCTAGTAGCACTGAGGCAGGAAGGCAGGCCCCGTCCTCCCCCACCCTCGGGACCACCTCCTGCCAATATCTGGTGCCAGGCCCCAGGCCCGGCACTTCCAGGATCTGCTCTCTAATCCTCCCTGTGCAGCCAATGCTCTTGTGCACCCCAGCTCACAGTTCACGAAGTGGAGGGCAGGGTTGACTGCCTTGCCCAAGGTCACTCTGGAAGAAGGGATGTTGGTGTTCAAACCCAGGCCTGCTTGTCTCCCAAAGCCACAGATGCACTCGCCAGGCTCTGCACTTCCAAGTGAAACCACCCCCACAGTCAGGACTACTCACCTGACTCTGAGCTGAAGTGAGAAAAGAAATCCGGGCAGGGGAGTGTGACCCACTCGCTAGAGCCGGTGGGCGGCCAACACAGCAGCCCATCCCAGGTCCTAGGGCAGCCTGGGTGGACAGAGGGGAGCAGGGAGGACTCAGCCTGGGTCAAGCCTGCCCAGCATTCTGGAGGTGAGGACTGAGGTGAGTACTGAGGAGACAAAGAACTTGTAGAAGCCACCGCCCCTTCCCAAGCCCCATACCCAGGGTGGTGTTGGGCATGCCCTCCGAGGCTTGTAGACATGCACGCTCATCCTCGCTCAACTGGGTAACGAAGTCACATGCTGGGGGCATGTGGCCCAGGGCCTGCAGGAGAGAGTTCACAGGATGAGCCAAGCCAACCGGGTGCTTCCTCCGGGTTCTCTGGTCTAAATGACCCAAGAACAGAGACTAGGCCTGACTCATTTCTGTGCCCTGATCCTAAGCCCAGGCCTGCCTTACAGTACTTATAGAGAAGAAAAGGAAGGAAAAAGGGAAAGAAGGGAGGAAAGGGAAGGAAGGAGGGAGAGAAGGAGAGAGAAAGGGAAGAGACAAGAGAGAGGGAGGGAGGGAGGGAGGAAAGAAGGAAGGAAGAAAATAGTTGGGAGGGAGAGAGGGAAGGAAGAAGGAAGGAAGGAGAAAGGGATGGAGAGAGAAAGAAAAGTGAGAAGAGAGGAGGGAGGGAGGAAGGATTCAGGAAGGAGGGAGGGAGGAGATACAAGAGAAGGAGGGAGAAAGGGAAGAAGGAAGGAGATCGTTGGGCAGGAGAGAGGGAGGGAAGGAAGAAGGAAGGAAGGAAGGAGATAAAAGAGATGGAGGGAGGGAAGGAGGAAAGGAGGAAGAAAGGAGTTTTGGTTCAATGTTTCCCTTTACACCCCACAGAAGTGTGCTCTGAGACACATTAGGCAAAATGCTTCGGAAGATCCTGGAGCAGCCAGTGCCAGCTTGGTCCTGCCTCGGCCTTTGCTCCTTCCCTTCGTGACTCCCCCCTCCCACACTCCTACTCCCTGGAAGCAATGCCACATAAACTACTTTGGCAAGTGACATACTGGGCCCCAAAGATGTTCCCGTCCTCATCCCTGGAAACTCTACGTATATTATCTCACTTGGCAAAAGGACTTTGCGCACGTGATTGAGTTAAGGATCTTGAGGTGGGAAGAGCATCCATCAATGGGCCCACTATAATCCTGAGGGTCCTCATGGCAGGGGCAGGAGGGCCAGAGCCAGGGAAGGAGATGGTGCAGCCCAATAACCATGAGGAATGATCTCTGGCAGCTGGAAAACAAGCTGTTTTTCTGGAAATCTTCTAGCAGTATTTCTGAAAGTGTGGCCCTGAACCAACCAGAGATCAACTGGGATGGAGCCAGGAATATGTAGAGATCTAGGGTGGGTCCAGGGTTTTGCATTTCACCAGGTTCTCCAGGGAGTCAACGGCAGGAATTCCCAGCACCCTCCCTCCCTCTGCATGAGAAGCCAGCGCTCTAAAACACAGGCTCTCTGCACTGTGAACTGGATCTGCAGCACACAGATTTTTACACAACACACACATCCAGGTCAACCAGTGCAGACTTCTGTTTCCCAGGCTGCACTGGGAAGGGTGTCTGGTACAGCAGGGAGGGCCTGGTCCTAATAGAGCCGGTGCAAACTGGGGGTCCTAATAGACCCCGTGCAAAAGGCAGAACAGGCACCAAGGAGGTGAGTGTCATTCTCACAAGGACTGGGGAGGGAACATTTGAGCTGGGCCTAGGGACAAAGCATGCTTGAAGTCACACACATGCGCACACACACACACGAAAGGGAGAAGGGCATTCAGGACAGAAAGAACTGCATGTACAAAAACAAGGAGACAGAAAGGTCTATTCAGGGAGTGTCTGAGTTGTGTGGGGAGGTGGCAAGTCTACATTTCCCTCCCCATGTCATCCTCACACACAGTTCCCTCTCACCCCCCATGTCTGGCAGAGTCCCTGTCAGCGCGTGATTACTTGACTGCTTGCGTTCTTCTTTGACGGGAATGCAGGAGCAGCAAACAGTGTGGATGTGATACTGGGTTTGAGATCAGAGAGCAGGACTTGGACCACCAGAGTGGGGACACTGACAGTGGGGACCTCATGGAAGAGACCCAAGGAGCTGGCTGCAGGCCAGTGGGCTAGGAGAGGACCTGGAGACCCAGCCCAGTAAGTAGGGTCACCCCCACCAGCCTTGCCCTGGCAGGAGAGGTCTCTCCTGTCCCGACCTGCTGACCCCAATCCCCAGACTCCAGCTTTGGCCCAGCTCTGCTGCTTCCTGCTTGGCCCTGTGGGTACCCAGGGTATAGCTGTCACCTGCTGCCCAGGCTCTAGGTCTCCATTTTGGTGGGTGCATGCCCAGACTCAGCTCCTGGCTTCCTCCACAGAACTCCGTGGCCCCCGGTTCATCCAGGGCATCCGTGGCATCTCCCCGCATCCCCCGGCAACAGACAGCCCACAAGTGGGGGAAAGAGGGAGGGTAGGCGGGCCTTGCATGGGACTTTCTTACACAGTCAACCTGGCTGTGATCCAGGGTGGCTGAGAAGCTACAGTCTCTGTCTGGCCTTCCTCCTACTCCACTGTCTGGTGAGCCCCAGCCCTTCCTGACACATCTTCTTGGGGACTATCTGGGGAACCATTGAGGCCAAAGGAACCAGGGCTCTAATGAGTGCTCCCACCAGAAGGAGGGATAGACAGCACCCACACTTCCTGAGAAGAAGGAGAATTTGGGGAAGCCCAACAAGTGATAAGAATTTGTGGTCACAGGGCCAGCTGTAAGGGGGAGGTTGTAGGGAGGGTAGCGGGTAGGACTAGAAAGATGAACCATTCCGAGATTCTCCAACACTCTGATGAATCACCCTGCCTATGTACTGGGGTCCCAATCACCCCCACTAAGATACGGGGGCTCCCAAACACCCCCATTTATATGCTGGGGTCCCAATTACCCCAGTCATATTCTTGGAGTCCTGATCACCCCTAGTCAGATATTGGACCTCCCAATTACCTCTAGTCACATGCCAGAGTCCCAGGTCCCAATCATCCCCAGTCATATGCTTGAGGTCCTGATTACTCCCACTCAGACACTGGCCCTTCCAATCACCCCCACTCATATGCTTGGATCCCGATCACCCCCTGTCATATGCTGAGGGGTCTGACTCTGCTTTCCAATTCTGAGGCACTGTCTTAAGGAAGAGTCTCTGTAGCTCCCAGAGGGCACAGACAGGCTCTAAGGGAAGCCGCAGGGAGGCAGGCTCAGCTCAGCCTCAAGAAGGTCATTGTAATAGAGCCACCCAGAGTCAGAGCAGACTGATGGGGGCGGGAAGTGGAGGGAGTCCCCAGAGCTGGGAGTTCTCCAAGCCCCAGCCTGCCACCTGCTTGGTAGGGAGGAACTTCCATGCTGGGGATGGTGGGGGGAGGAGGGATTTGGTCTCCACCAGGCTCCAGCTGGCCCCAAAACTCCCAAATCTGGAGTCCAGTGGGAGAAGCAGGAGGGTTGGGCTGGCTACTCACGATTGGTAATGAGCTCAGCACACAGAGGATGCAGGCCCCCCACATCCGGCGGGCCATGGTGGGCTTGGTGCAGCTCCCTCTGCCAGCCTCAGTGAGCCTTGGCTGTCTTCCCTCACTGTCCCCCAATACTGCCACTTCTGCCACACCCACTGCCTCCCCTTCCCAGGTGGCTGTTTGCATAGGCAGGAACCAGCCAAGGGGACACAGAGAGCTGAATATTCACCAGGATGACAGAACACCATGTTCAACTCGGCCTTGGCCCTGAGGTGGGGCTCCATGTCGCCAGCAGGGAGGGGCTGAGCCCACAGCCCTACCATCTTTTACTCTGCCTAAAAGTCTGCTTGTGCACCTGTCCTGGCAGCAAGATCCCAGAGAGGTGAAGCCACGGGCTCCTCCTTGCCCCAGTTGGTCAATATTCTTTACCATTTTCTTCTGTAAGCCCAGCTCTCTGGTGCCAACACTAGAGAGACCCCTCAGAATGACGGGACCTTAGTGAAGAGAGTCCACAAGTCTGCGTGATGCTTACAACCTCATCCACAGGACTGGGGAGTGAACTCAGAGCTTTGGGGACCTGGCGGGGTGGGGGGAGATAGGGGACACGTTGTCTGTGGGGTTGGAGGGTTGGAATGGGCTTAGGAAAGGGCTTAGACCGGGCTCAGTGACTCAGCCTGTAATCTCAGCACTTTGGGAGGCCGAGGCGAGTAGATTGCTTGAGTTCGCGGGTTCGAGACCCATCCGGGCAACTTGGCAAGACCTCGTCTCTACAATAAATCAAAAATTAGCCAGGCATGGTAGTGTGTGCCTGTAGTTCCAGCTACTTGGAAGGCCGAGGCGGAAGGGTCGCCAGAGCCCAGCAGGTCAAGGCCACGGAGGCCGGGGGCATGCCACCGCACTCCAGTCTGGGTGACAGAGTGAGACTCCAACGAAAAAAAAAGAAGAAAGAAAAGGAAGCATATTTTCATTTACTTAGTGGTAAGTAAAGAAAAGAAGAAAAAGAAAGCATGATGACTAAGCACCAGAATGGGCTGGCCAGGAATGTGGTTATCGACAAGACCCAGTTTCCTTACCAGGCAGGGACACTAGCCTGGAAGACAAACTGAAGTCTGCAAGCATCATGGCTCTGGACTTCACTGGGGGCTTGTCAGAGTCTCTCCAAAATTCCTCATGGCAAGAGGAAAAAGCCAGGCAGCTTGAAAGCCTTGTGAAGGGGGATCGTGGAGACAGGCCATCTTGAAAAGGGGAAACATGACTGCCATCAGTGGCAGCAATAAGAGGACTCACATGGCCACTCAGATGACTTTGAACACTCATTGTGCCTAGTCATTTTGATTATAGTTTTAGATTTCAAAAAACAGTGTCTCAACCAGCCAACCTAAAGATAGTGTCCTAAATCACCACAAATCTTGCACAGCCCTTTGGAATTTGAAAGCAGATTTTATCTTTGAAAGCTTTGAATCCGGCTCGGTGTGGTGGCTCATCCCCGTAATCCCAGCACTTTGGGAGGCTGAGGTGGGAGGATCACTTGAGTCCAGGAGTTCAAGACCAGCCTTAGCAACATATCGAGCAAAATCTTGTCTCTACAAAAAATTCAAAAATGCACTACACACACCAGTTGGGAAAACTACCATTACTGTGATGTTTCTGAATACTATCAAACAGCCTTACATGTCTGCAGTCATCAAGAGAGCTACTTATTAAATTGTTAAAAAAAAAAAAAAAAAGAATTGTTTTAATCCAAAAATAAGACGGGCATGATAATGCATGCCTGTAGTTCCAGCTACTCTGGAAGCTGAGGTAGAAGGATCTCCTGAGCCCAGGAAGTTGTGGCTGCGGTTAACTATAATCACACCACTGTACTTCAGCCTGGTCAACAAAGTGAGACCCTGCCAAAACAAAAAAGAAAGGGGAGGGAGGGGGAGGGGAGAAGAGAGGACTGGAGGGAGAAAAAAAAAAGAGAGACAGAAGGCTCTGAATGTCCTGGGAGCTGACAGGTGCTGATATTTGTGCACAGATGTCCACTCACAGAGGTCGCTGGGCTGGACGCTGGGACACCAATGTGTTTACAGCCTGATAGCGTCATGAATGTTCATGACTCCTCATCCCTGCCACATCTGTATTTAGGAATCGTTTTGACCTCAACAGGGCTTTATTTTTCCATCATTATTCATTGTCAACAAAATGTTGAAGAAAAATATTTTGGAAAGAAAACATGAACTACCTCAAACTCCAACCCCCCTCCCCCTCCCCTGGTACAGTGTTTTCACCAACTTGACTGTGGGAATGGTGCAGGCAGCCCACAACACTGGGCTCTTGCACATTCAGGGTGAAGCAGAGCATCTCTCTTGGCCAGGCTGGGTGAAGGCTCACAGGTTGGAAAAGCGGGATGTGAGAAAGTATAACTTAAAGGGAAAGCTAGAACCTTCTGCCCCCCCAGCTGTAAAGAGACAACAGCACTAGGAAAGAATATTATGCCCACAATGAATCACCATGGATAATTAGCATCAATAGCATTAGCATTCATGATTGTTAATAATTGATATTTATAGTGATCACTAATAGTTATTATTCTCTAAATGAGTGGTTCTTAACAGGTCAATGTCTCCCTCTAGGGGACATCTGGCATTGTCTGGAGACATTTTTTATTACTGAAACTAAGAGTTGAGAATGAGGAGGAGGGGTGACTTGCTTACTGGTATCCAGGGACCAGGGATATTGTTAAACATTCTGCAATGTACAGGATGGCCACTTATGACCATATAAAGAATTATCAGCTGTGCTCAGTGGCCTGTAATCCCATGCTTTGGGAGGCTGAGGTGAGTGGATTGCCTGAGCCCGCGGGTTCGGACCCGCCTGGGCAACTTGGTGAGACCTCATCTCTACAACAAATCAAAAAATTAGCCGAGCGTGGTAGCACGCGCCTGTAGTTCCAGTTACTTGGAAAGCTGAGGCAGAAGGATCGCCGGAGCCCAGCAGATCGAGGCTGCAGTGGCTGGGAGCGGCCACTGCACTCCAGTCTGGGCGACAGAGTGAGACTCCAACTCAAAAAAAAAAAAAAAGAATTATTCAGTCCCTAAAGTCAATAGGACCAAGGCTGAGAAAACCTGCTCTAATGATTCGTTTCCCCAAGGATTTCTGCAGGCCTATTTCTTCACTGAACTCTCTCCTCTAGCTCTTTTTGTATATACTCAGGGTTCAAATTCTACCACCACCACTAGCTGTCATACATTGAGAAAGTTATTTAATCTTCCTAAGTCTCCATTTCCCTATCTAAAAAAATGGGGAAAGTTCTAATACCTTTTGCTATCAATCCCGTTGTAAAACTTTCTTATAGGGTTGGTAGGATAAGTAAACAAGGAAAGACATGTGATGTAAGGAACCTCATGCAGAGCCCAGCTCACAGTGGACAACCCTTAACAGTGACATGTGACAAGGATGGACCATCAACAAATAAGGTGGGAACAGCTGATATTTTGTATGGAAAAAAATAGGATTAGACATTTAGTTCATGTTTACAAAATATAAATCCTAAGTATAAAACCTTAACTATCAAACAACAAAATAGTAAGATTGTTTCAAAAATAAATATTTATTTTTATGACCTTAGAAAAGAGAAGACTTTCTTATATTAAAAATAAAAATCATAAGGGAAAAATCAGGTATGATGACATGAACATTTTTTAAAAAGTATATTCAAGAAAGGACATCACAGATGAAAACTAAAAACAAGCTACACACTGAAAGAAATACTTGCAACCAGTATTGACAAACAAATGCATAGTATCAAAAATATATTTTAAAAATACTTACAAATCAATAATAAAGAGGAAAATAACTCAATAGAAAAATGAGCAGAGGCTATAAACGGGCAATTCAGAAAAGAAGTAAAATATATAGGCTAATAAACAGATGAAGAGATGCTCAACATTTTTAATACTCAAGAAAACTAAAATTAAAACAATAATCTATCCACCTTCACCTACTGCATTGTCTAAAACTAATATCTGATAATACAATGTTTGGAAGATAATGTGGGGAAATGGAAATGTTCATACAAGTGCAGATGGGAGTGAACATTGCATGCCCACTTTGAAAAACAATTTGATATCATCTGTTGAGTCTATAAATGAATATACCCTATAAACAAGATGTTCCATTTCTGGATATTTGTCTCTCAAGGGCAGTATCGCTTATAACATGCGGTGAAAACCAGAAAGCAACACAACTGTCCGATGATAAGAAAATAACTAAACAAAATGTGAGCCATTTATATAATGAAATACCGCAGAGCAATTAAAAGGTGTGGACTAAATCTATTTGTATGAGAGAACTTCAAAATTTTGTTGGAATATGAATTTAAAAGATGAAAATATAAACTTCATTTCTCAAGATAGCTTCAGCAAGGTCAAGACAATTTTGTTTGGTAAGAATGATGCCAGCCATTCGTTCCCCCCTAGAGATCTGAAGGTCCTGAGAATTTAACCATGTCAGTGCAGTCTTTTGTACATTATTATCTGACCAAAAACAGGAGCCCCTGAAAGTGTTTTTTATGAATAGAAAACAAAAAGAAGCCATAAGGAGCCAAATCAGGGTAGTAAGGTGGATGCTTAGTGATTTCCCATTGAAACTCTCACAAACTTGCCCTTGCTTAATGAGAGGAATGAGAAGGAGACTTGTCATGGTAGAGGACTCTCTGGTGAAACTTTCCATGTATTTTTCTGCCAAAACTTTGGTTAACTTTCTCAAAATACTCTTATAATAAGTAGATGTTATTGTTCTTAGCCCTCCAGAAAATCAACAGGCAAAATGCCTTGAGCATCCCAAAAACTGTTGCCATGACCTTTACTCTTAACTGACTCACTTTTGCTTTGACTGGGCCACTTCCACCTCTTGGTAGTCATTGCTTTGATTATGTTTTGTCTTCAGGGTTGTACTGGTAATGTCATGTTTCTTTTTTTTTTTTTTTTGAGTTGGAATCTTACTCTGTTACCTGGGCTAGAGAGCAGTGCCACACTCACGGCCACCCCAGCATTGACCTGAGGGGCTCTGGTGATCCTTCT